AAGAACCCCCTTCCAAACTGCCCATGAGCCTGGGTGTACAGAGCCAGCTGACCTGTGAATTAGAAAACATACCCCCCTGGGCTTCCCCGGTGGCGCAGTGGTTGAGAGTCTGCCTGCTGATGCAGGGGACACGGGTTAGTGCCCCAGTCCAGGAAGATCCCACATGCTGCGGAGAGGCTGGGCCCGTGAGCCATGGCCGCTGAGCCTGCGCGTCCGGAGCCTGTGCTCTGCAACAGGTGAGGCCACAACAGTGAGAGGCCCGTGTACCGCAAAAAAAAAAAAAAGAAAAGAAAACATACCCCATACCCCACGGGAAATATTCTCTTTGTAGTTGCAACAAGGGTCTCAACACTGGCTGCACATCACCATCATCTGGGGAGTTTAAGAAACACTATGCCCGGCAGCACACCCCCGCCCCCTCCCAGCTCAGGCCAGTTGAGTCCGAATCCCTGTGTATTTTGACACCTCCCTCTACACCCATCTGTCTCCCTGCAGAGGTGATGCTGACGTACAGCGGGGCTGAGAACCACTGGACCAGGCATGCACAGCGAGGGCTGTTTCAGCACCAAATTACCTGCCTGTTCAGAACCTGTGGGAGGACTCCTTGGAGCTGCTCACAGCTCGAAGCTTAGCTTGGCTCAGCCTGGATCCCTGTTGCTTGGGGTGAGAGAAGTGACCTGACCTTCAGAACTCAGCTCTCTGGCCAAAATAAGGGCTGGCAAGGAAGGCCTGGCAGGGGAAAAGGAAAGAAGGGAGCCAGGTGTCCAGCACACGTGCTTCCCCTCTGCCTGCGGAAGGCAGTGGTCTCAACCTCCTGTGCGTCACAGGCACGCTGGGATACTTGTCAAATGCAGATGCCTGGGCCCCACTCCCTGCATTGATTAGAAGGTGTAGGGTGTGGCCCAGTAATCTGCATTTTAACAGGTCCCAGGTGACTCTGACGGAGGGCTCTGGTGCGCACCCACCCCCCTCAAACCCTGAGAGGCCTGCAGGGGTCTGTGGGAACCCCCGGTGGCCGTGTGCCAGGCAGGGATCCTTTGTCCTCCTGGCCCTGGCCCAGGGGAGTCTGAAATCAGGACTGAGGTAGCGGCCAGCAAGCAGTGTTAGAAATGATTAGAATTTCCATTTCTAGAAATGGTCAGGATCGTGGGGCATGGTCCAAACGGGGGGTCTTCACAGAAGACAGGTGCACCTGCCCCACGTGTTCTTTGTGTCATAGAAGGTGGAAGCAAGGCAAGAAGGGCCCTTGACTTACTTGCCCCATGGGGGTTTCCTAGGCTGAGTGCAGGCAGGGGACGCAGGAGCAAGAACCCAGGAAGCAGCCTCTGGTCCTGCAGAGAACTTCCGTGTCAGCAGTGGGTTTCAAAGTACGGTTTCTGGGGCCAGCAACATCAGAATCATTTGTTGGAAATGCAGATTCTCAGGCCCCACCCCCAATCTCTGGATCAGACCCTTGGGGGATGGGCCCCCTGTCTGTGTTACAGCGGGGCCTCAGGTGGTTCTGTTAGCGCTGAGGCTTGAGGACCCCGCGCCGCAGGCTCCAGTGCTTCAGTGCTCACGGGCTTAGAGAAGGTCCTCGCTCTCCTGGCCATCACCTCAGTCCCTTTCCGTGGGGGAGGGAGAAGCCACACCACACCCCTCCCACTCTCCCCACCAGCTGGGAAGGGGCTGAATGACACAGGGGCTGCTGCGCCCACCCGGAGGGAAGGAAAAGCCAGGTTCCCGGCAGCTGCCCCCCGCCCAGCAGGCTGCCCCCAGCTGACTCTCGGCTTTGGTTTTCCTTTCTCTGTGCCCAGAGGGGTGCAGGAGGGGCTCTCCCTCAGAAAGCAAAGGCACCTGGGGGCCTAAGCCACCCAAAGCACAGGCAGCTCTGGCTCAGAAGCCCCAGGGTCTGGTCCCACTGTCGCCCCCCAGAGACCTTTGGGAATGAGGCTCAGGGAAGCTTGGAGTACCGTCTCCTTCTCCTGGCCCATGAGCGCCTCCTCTTCTCAGAGGCAGGCCCTGTTCTGAAGCAGACAGCATCCTGTACCAGGGCAGACATCCTGCTTGGAAGGGGTGACGATGGTCGTACCCCACACCTCCAGAAAGGGGCCGGGGCTGCTGGTTTAGTCAGCTCAGGCTGCTGTAAATGCCACAGACCACTCAGTGGCTTAACTAACAGATGTATCTCTCTCGGGGGAAGGGAAGAGAGGCTGATTCAGAGGCCAAGGCCTAGAACGAGGACTGACCCAGTGTGACAGGGTGAGCTCCTCAGTTCTCTCTTCTCCAGCCCCAATTCTGGACCTCTTCCAAGCATTCCGAGCAGGGACAAATTTGAACATGCTCAGAGAGGGAGTCCCCGGGATCAGGAATAATTCAGCCTCATTGTCAGGACTCACTGTCGGGTCTTTAAACATGTTACAAGAGTCCACAGCTTTGAAGCAAAAGTTCGAGGACTTACTTGGGTTAAATTAAAAGCACAATTTTATATTTTCTTGTCAAACAACTTCACTTGGGGCAACAACTGAAGTATAATTTAATTCAACAGGATATATCACACTTGGAGGGAAAACAAAAAAACCTCCTTAAATTAAAGCCAAACATTCTTTCCAAGGCCCAACACTGACATTTCCAGATTGACAGAATGAGTTTGTTTCCATAAAACAAAATCTTGAGTCCAAAGTCTGCCTTTGAAACAGCTTTCCACTTCATGCTCCGTTTCTCCGGGCTCAGGGAACGATGCTCGTGGCCTTCCTCAGGGCCAGGTAGCCCGTGACCACGTCGGACGGCAGCCGCCGAATGTAGGAAAACTCCTCGATGGTGCTGAAGCGCAGCTTGCTCTGGGGGTCAGTGTAGCTGGCCTGGGTGAGAGACAGGCACAGAGAAGGGCAGAAAGTTGTTGTCGGAGTTGAGGTTTCAGATCAAGATAAACATTATTTTTCTGTTTTACTGAAACTGAAAAGTGTCTTCATCACGTCTGACTCTGTCACCAAGAATGCTAAATCGCTCAGTTTGGCAAAGACACATTAGTCTTCCCAGAACTGAGAAAGGCTTCAGGGTATGGACAGGAGGACGGGTGAATAACCACATCAGACACCGGGACGCTTGTGGCTGGTGCCTCAGGGCTACCAGCAACAGGTCCAAACCGAATTCATGCTGATCACCCCTCCCTGATCCCCGCCTTCAGACGCCACCTGCTTCAAACAAATGCTCCGGATCTGTCACCCAAGGCCGGGGCGGGGGGCACCCCGTCCCCACACCACCTACTCCCAGTGCGCTGCTCTCTTGCTCCCCCTCACCGCCCCCAGGTCACTTCCATGGCTCCCTGGGCTACCCTGCAGTGCCGGAATGGCCACCCACCCTCCTCCACTGGAAAGGGCTGCCATCTGACACCTGCAGCCAGGGGCATCTTTACAACCTGCAGCTCCGATCATGTCTTTCCTCATGAAACCTTTCAAGGGCCCAAGTCCGCAGCACAGCTCCTCAGGCCCTGCCTGGGCCCCCTCTTCCGAGCCTCTGCCTCAGCCATGTGTCCCCACCGTCCAGTTCCAACCACCCCGGCTCTAAGCACCTCCCTCCCGTCCTGCCCATCTGCCCTTTCCTTGCCCAGTGACCGCCTGCTCATCCCGAAGTCGCATCATCGGGGACGCTTTATCTGCCCCACAGGCAGTCAGGACCCTATCCTCACGTTCACCTCAGTACCCCTGTCTCCGGTGGAATGCTTACCTCTGTTGCTCTTACGTTTATCATCTGTGGGACTCTGCCTGAAGTCTAGGCTGTGAGTCTCCACGAGGCAAGAACCCTGTGGCTTGCTTATCACTGGATCCTGGCTGTACTGTCTCCTAGTGCGATGCAGAGCACACAGTGGGCCTTCAGCTACCATGAATGAGGGATGAGTGAATGAACAAACCAATGAACGATGGGGAGAGTCACAGAAAAGAGAACTTGTTTCCCACTGATACATCAAAATTCTCTTTTGGTCTGTTCTCCCCACGTGCAGAGTGGAGAAAATATTCACTTACTATCTACCTCAAGGCACATGGCTCCTACAGATTTTGAAACAGAAAACGTGAGGGTGAGTCATTTGGAGCTCCTTTAAAAAATTATAAAAGACGCCATTAACGTCTAGACAGGTAACAGCCAATTACTCAGGTGTGGACTGTCTGCGCCAGTGCTGGTCGTCTCTGCATGGACCCAGACGCGCTGGGATCTAAGGAGGGAGGGAGGCTTGGTGAAGAAGCAACCAGCTGAAGGGAACTTAGTCATGGGTTTCTCATGCTCTGAAAAGTCTTCAGTTCCATCACTGGGGATCTCCCTAAGGTATCTGAGGTCTGTGTGTTAGGAAAATGAGATTATTCCTAAAAAGCTAAGATTGATTAAAGTTCTATCTAAAACAGAACTTTGATCCTTTGGCTTAATCTAGATATTGCCTTTCTGTACCACATTTCCTTTCATGCCACTCATATAAAGGAAGGCTTAACTGGAAAAACAGCAGCAGGTCCCTTCTGAGGGCTCCTGCCCATGAGGCAGTTAGATGTACTATCTGGCAGGGGAGCTGCCCTGCAGTTCCGAGCAGGGGTGCAGGCTTATGCATCTGGCTTTGATTATCTGGCCTCCATGGATGAACCAGCCCTGGCCCGGTTCCATCTCTGTGGCTGCCTCACCCCCACCACCAAACTGTGCCAAGCCCGCCAGCCCAAGTTCAGGCCTCACTGCCAAGAAGGCTGCTGAACAAATAATGCGGAATACAGAGAACTGTTGCACCAACAAAGAGGTCAAACAAAAACTTGCACGGACCAGACCTGACCTAGTATTCTGAACAGAGGGAAGGAGGCTGGGTGACACCTCAGAGATGAACAAGTAAAGAACTGGACTCCTGCGGTCTGCCCTCCTCTGGGCTCCGTCCCACCAGCCTG